CTGTGTGATGCCATCATGTACCAAACTACCTGAGAAATGCTTCCAGCACCTAGTAGAATCCATGCCACGAAGAATTGAGGCAGTTCTGAAGGCAAAAGGGGGTCCAACCCGTTACTAGCATGGGGTACCTAATAAAGTGGCCGGTGAGTGTATATATATATATATATATATATATATATACACACACATATATATAATTTTATATGAATTTTTCCTTGCGTTAGACATGTACATACATTGTTGATCAATGGATTTTGTTTATTAGATCCACTGACAGTAAAATTAGCTGTGAAACGTCTCTCTACAGCCGGCAAACTGTTTGTTTTTGCAGCCAAGTGCCACTGATGCACTCGATATTTAAGGGATTAACGGTCCACTTGCCCTATCAACTACGCGGTTTGGCACTTAATGTGCGGACCCTCTTCAGAACGTTTAGGGGCCGGTTTGGGATCGAGTTCCTTCATGTTCTGGATGAATGAGTCCTGTTCTGATGCGTCTGAATGGAAATACAAAGGCCATAAAAGGTCCTTTCTATTCCCTTATGTTAAACTTGGTTACATGTCGGCAACTGAGAATAACTAACATGAGGAGTATTCAAGAACAAAGTTTTATTTGGTTCATAAAAGTTGTTCAAATCAATTCTTTTGTTTTTGACAAAATAAAAACATGAACATGATTGTCACCGACTCCTGTGGCGTTATTTCTTTCAGCGCTGGTATTTCACTTTTCCCACTCAGACAAATGAAAACTCAAACCTCTTATCAAAATAGATTTTATTCTGCACTGAAGTTGTACTGATCTGAATTATATGATGACACAGATGGATGAGATTCAAGCTGCAAAAGAAGAAGAAAAACAAAAAAAACAGAATGGTTCCTGGAGCCCCGACGGTTCCCGGGGGCGGCTGATCCTGAACCAGACCCAAAGCTGTCCCGGGGTTTCCACCTCATCAGAGATAGATAGCCCGGCTCAAAGTTGGGGTTTCACAACCTCAAATACAGTTAAGAAAAGAAAAAAAAAATCACACACAAGGCTTAAAAACAGGAATATGAAGAGTCTTCTCAAGTCCAGAAAGTACAGAGTTCTGTTTGGTTCTATTGGGGGATGTGGAGAAATAAACTGAAACGGCAGCGGTCTGATGGGGAGGGGCTTCTGGAGGCGGCTTTGTCCAGTGAAGCTGAGATTTTAGCATGAAATATATGAGTGATGGAAGAAAAAAAAAGCAGCTTAATTTAACCATTAAGGTTTGTTTTCCAGATTTTGAATATTTTATGTGAACTAAAGGCTGTCACCCAGACCAGCATCTGTTCAGCTCAGGAGAATAAACTGTCTCCAGATCTGCTGCTTTGTGGAAAAATGACATTCATGTCACATCAGAATCTTTTTTTAATGAAAAAATGTTTACAGGGTTAAAGGAGGTATTATCTCTGGAACTCGTTTTAAACTCCAAAAGATTCCATGATCAGTTTCCCTCTGAAGTTCACAGCAGGAACATCACCTAGTTTTATTGTTTTTAATTTAAAATAGCAAAGTGTTGCTTTAGTATGAACTTTAAAAGAGAATAAAGTAAAAGCTGAGCGGCGTTTTGGTGATGAAAAACTAAGTGGAGGTGAGAGGAGCCAAAGGAGCTGCGGTGGATTTGTTTCTACTTTTTTCGGAGTTGAACCGCTTTGCTTTCTGGGTGTTTTATGCTCCTCCTTTCTGAAAACTGCATGAACAGGGGCAAAACGCAGAGGTGGGCCTTATTTCAGCCGGGCTGCCATAACAAACACTTCATCTGCAGACAGTGGGTCAACCTCAGATCAGACATGCCTCCTCCTGATGCGACTTGATGCTGCCCGAGTCTACATCAGCACCTCCACTGCTACCTGTATAACATGGTGGTTTAGCGCCAACATGACAAGCTCTGCAGAAGAACCAACAGTTGCTGCACCAGAGAAGAGTCAGATTTATCATCTAAAAAAAAAAAATTGTGACTGTTTAAGGTTTAAAGTTTTACTTCTAGTTTTGATTTCTCCATCAAACATCATTCAATGCCGTTACTTTCCTAAATCAGCTCTGAACTCGTCCACAAGCTACAGCTAAAATATTAGATGGGACAGCAGCGCCCTCTGCTGTTTGATCTGTAGCTGCAGTCAAAATGATCAATTTTCATAGAGGTTAGAAACAAAATCCACTTCAAAACTGTTGTTTTAAAATTTAGAAAGGGATTCTGGGTGAAAACTTCAAAGCATTAGGATAGAAAACATTTTTCAATTCTGACCCATTTTTCTTTTCTTTAAAGGGGAAAACAGGGGGAAAAAAAGCTAAATCCTGCACCGTGTTTAAAGCTCCTGAGTTAGTTTGGATCATAATCGAGTCGTTTTAGGATCATTAACGGTAGATTAAAACTCAACAGAGTTTATGGTCTGATAAGAGAAGAATTTCTGCAGCTATAAAATCTGGAGGAAATGCTCAGATCTGGGTCTGATGGAACTGCTTTTTTTCATTTTTATTTCGAAAACAAACTTAGTCAAACATCCTGAAAATCATCCATTGTCACAGAAAGGGTTTCAGCACAGAAATCCCAGAATTCTGGGAATGGATAAGAAAGCAGAATATGAGCTGATCTGAGATCTGATCTGCAGCAGTAGAGCTGAAAACGGTTTTATTAACAATAACGTTTTTACCGTCACCTTTCTGAAGCGGAGATGGAGATCTCCCATTAAACAGAAAGCTTTTCATGTTAAAACTGAAGGTTTTAATGGATCTGACCTAAATGTGACCAAAATAAATCTAAAATAAAAATAAAACCTATTGGGTTAAAACAAGATGTATTAACATTTCCATTTGTTTAGAGATAAAAGTGGTTCCAGGCTCCACTGGAAGCGTGACTCCGGTTAGCATTAGCATGAACTGAACCCCAGGAGAGCATGTAGGGCTTCAGCTCACCTTCTTTACTGAAACCCGTTAAAGCGACAAACTGCAGGCGGCTGGATGTGATTTCTAAAGCCAACCTTTACCAGGAGCCCATCAAACCGCATCGTTCTGCGCTCGGCGGCGTTCCCTCTGAACGGTTACAGGTGAGTCCTGGCAGAGGGAACCGATCACTTTTCATATATAAAGCTGGAAACATGACAGCAGGTGGAAGTAAAAAAAACAAGCAAAGGTGAAGAAATGGAGCTCCAGGCTGAATCCAGGTTCAAATGAGAACAAACCTTCAGAGTGGACAGGCAGGGTTTATTCTGTAGCAGAAAGCCAAATATTAATTTTTTTGGGGGGGTGGTTAATCTGTTATTTGCCCATGTGGATGCATCAGAGGAAATCCTGGGGATGCACTTCTCCCTTTGCCCCTCCCATAAGATAAAAAATATAAAGACGTTAAAAGGAGAGATCTGAAATTCAAAAAAACAAACTAAGTGCCATTCCATCCTGTGGTGAGGGAGTCGATATGTCCGCACAAAAAGATCTGACTAGTAACATTGATCAACACTTTGTCATTGTTTTACATTTGATGACGATGAGAATGGTTCAAACAGCTTCCATATTTTGGTAAATATACGGATCTGTCGCTTTTTTTTTTTTTTTTGCCCCCTTCTGCTTCTCTCTGAGAGTCTGCATGGACAGAAGGGGGCGCCATCATCCCAACGTTCCTCAATCCGTCCATCTGTCAGTTTTATTCCCCCCGCGTCTGGACCTGCTGTGTCGGGTACTTGCTTCCTGTTCCTGTATCCTGCTTCCTGTCTGTCGGTGGGCGGGGCCTAAGCGTGAGCAGTACGCAGGGCAGGCAGGGACAGTCATTTGGCTATGTACACATTCATGGTCGGTCCATGGCTTCCAACGAACAGCAGCACTATTTCCGCAGGTCTAATACGCACACCTGCAGTGGGGGAACAGGAGGAGACAGTGTGAGGTCGCCGTGGCAACAGCAGTAAACAATAAACAGAGCCGGGGGTGCTTACAGAGCCGTCCGACGCGCTGGCTCCCACTTTGTCTCCCGCTGCGTTCCAACACACCTCGAAGATCCCGCCGGTCCCTCTGTAGCTGTGCACCAGCGCCCCCGTCTGCAGGGAGACGGTACCGCATGACAACGGGCCGAGCTTTCTCTCAGCTCTAAGAGCAGTTTTCTTCTCACCTGTGTGTTCCAGATGTGCACACATTTGTCAAACGAGCCGCTGGCCAGATGGCGTCCGTCTGGGCTGAAAGCCACGCTGTACACCGGCTCCTGGTGTTTGGTCAGCGTGTGGATACAGATGCCCCGGTCCACGTCCCAGAGGCGCACCGTGGAGTCAAACGACGCGCTGCGGAGACGGCAGAACCATCCGGTCAGAAAAAAGAAGCCTTTTTTAGCTCCCTGTTCAGAGCTAGAATCAAACCAAGGGCTGAAGAGCGAGCAGGAGGTGGGAGACATGGAGACAAACCCACTCTGACACACACCTGGCTAGCATGAGGTTAGCGCTGGGATTGTTGGTTCCTGGTCCAGTTGGACTCCATTTAATGGTGTAGATTTCTTTGCTGTGGGCCTGCAGGTCATGGATGCACGAGTCCTGCTTCATACTCCAGATCTGCAGACAGAACGAAAACAGAAGTCACCCTCAGAGGGAAACCGTCTCATTCATCCGGCTGTGAGACCAGGAGACGAGCTAACAGTATGAGCACATTGTGATGTCATTAGAGGATGAAAACAGAAAAAAAAAACATTATTAATCTAATTAATTAAATAATTTTTAGTAATCTAATTAAGTTTTACTCCCAAATATTTCATCCTCTGACCCCAAAAGTAGAACAGCAACAGACCCCTGAAAATAGACAGAACTACTTCACTCTAGATTCATTTATGAATAGAAAGTGAAATGTTTATCCTTTTTTTTAAATGACATTTAATGATTTAATTGTTCCTCTGTGACTGACTGGCGACCTGTCCAGGGTTTACCCCACAATAAAAATAAACAGTACAATAAACTAACACACGTTTTAGGTTTATAACTTTTAAAGTTGGTTAAAACAATCCTAAAAGTGGAGGGTAGATGATAGAACACGTCTCGTTTCAAATAAATAGATTATTTTCCCTTTTTTGGCTGCTACAGATAGAAATAATGATCAGTTTTTGTCACCTCAGCTGGAAGACTGCAGAAGATTCAGAAGACAATGACGAGAACGCTGCTCTGCATTGATTATAGAGGAAAACGCTCACTGTGAAACCAGCAATGCTTTGCGTTGCCATGGAGATGCAGCTTACTCTCTCATGGCTTTGCATTGAGCACAGATTAGGAGGAACCAACCTGCTAATGTTTACAACGCTCCACATAAGCTTTTACTTTGAAGTCTAATTACCAAGGTGAACAGGAAAGTGGTTGCCAAGGTAATGACAGCTGGAAATCAGAAGGAGCTGATTTCAAAGCAGTGCATTCTGACTAAATCCATTTAACAAACTGATGGAAACGACGTGTAATGTAAACGATGACCTGTCCTCCATGTTTGTGCTGCAAACGTCTGGACCACGCCTGCTGGTAGGGCTAGAAGCTCTGAAATGGTGCGCTAACAAATCATGTCTTTAATTTAAATAAGAAAAAGGGAGTCATATTTTTTTTGTTATTCTAATTTAATAAAAACAGAAACTAAAACAGCAATTTATTTGATTTATTTTGAACAAATACACTAAATAGCAGACCCTTCACTGCTCTGGTTTCCAGAAGGAATGATGTGACTCTGATAGGCTGCTGAGAGAAATGTTTCTATAACAAAATCCCCTTTGATGTTAGTTCTTTGCTAAATATTAGGTTAATTCCTTAAAGTCGTGGGGAAACGGCCGTTCAAACGTTGCTTTTCCGAATTCTGCCGAGTGGTTCAGACTTTACACGAGTGAATAAAGTGAATGTGATTGGTCGATTATCAAGGGGGCGGGATTGTTGTGGCTGAAGGATTGCAGCAAGTTTGGTTGCGCCGGTTTGTCGGAAGCATCTTGCTAACCAGTTAGCATCTTAGTTAGAAATTCCATTGGGACCAAGTAGCACTAAATTGGTGACTTAGAAACGACGCTGTCAAGGAACGCTATGGACAGCGGAAACATGCAAGAGGAGGAGAGTTTAGTGTCGGAGGTCGTGGATGAGTCTCCTCAGTCATACGTTTTTTATTTAGAGGAGGAAAGCGGGGACGAAGATGTTGTGGAAGAGGACGCCAGGGCGGCAGAAGCTTGGTTTGGTGTAGAAGGCTTCCAGCCGTACATGTTTGAGCCCTTGCCTCGCAACGCCGTCAGTTCTGTTAGCTCTACGCCTGCTGAAGACACAGACGTCCATCCCCGTGAACACTGGGACGGAACTCAATGGGAAAGGAAATGATCCTTATTTCTTATTTCAACCGTTGCGTATATTTAGTGTTTATACAGGAAGGACAAACTCTAACTTAATGCTCTTTTAATGCTCTTAGATATAATTTTAATGCCATTAATAAGTACCCATTACTCTCTCTTTATATATATATATATAAACACGGCCAAATCCTTCATAATCTTTACCATCGACAGGCTGCAGCCATGTCCCGTATTTCTCGTTTTCCAGCCACTTATGTTAAAATTTGCATTTTCCCATTTTCTAGCTTTTACTCTGCCTCGAGCTTCTGTTCCCAACATATGGCTTCAGGATCAAACAGGAGCAGTTCCACGCAAACATGTGGAACCAGTTAAATCTGATATTTGACAACATTTTTTTAATTCTTTATTAAGGATTTTAAATGCATGATAATCACATTTAATGAATTTTAATGCCAATTAAGGCCTTAATTTAAAAAATAATAAATTAATGACTTTGAATGATTTTTAATGACCCACAGAAACCCTGATATTAGCTGCGACATATGAATCAAGATGCTATGACCGAAAAAATTTGATTGACAGATGACCGTTGATATATGATTGGCCGAATTTAGGTGTTCAGGCTGACGTAGAACTGACTGGCCTGCATAAGATAACGAAGAATAAAGAACACAGATTTTAAGACAACTTTTGGGACAATATCGTTTGAAAAAGAGTACATTAATATACACGTTTAAGCCAGAATGATTTGACATTTAAATATGATTTCCCTACGACTTTAAACGTACGATTTTTTTTTTCTAACCGATTGGAAAGCAAAGTTATTGGCTTCTCTGAATAATTCACAATGGACTAAAAATGAGCATAAAAAGCAGTTAGCCAAACAATCGTCTGTTTGGGAGCTGGTTTCGATTTAATGTGGATTGAAAAGGAAAAGTCTTACCTTCAGCGTCATATCGTCGGAGCAGGATGCCAGCAGGTTCCCCGTCGGGTCCCACTTGATTGCATTAACTTCATTCTGCAGGGAGACAGACAGACTGGCTCGTCATCGGCTGATCAACGACAGGAAGGAGAGCGTTTCTCTGCACATCGCTCACCGAGTGTCCCTGGAATGTCTTAATGGGCCGGTCCTGTCCCAGTTTACAGACGTGGATGCACATGTCTGTACTACAGGAAGCAAACGTATTGTTGCTCTGCCAGTCCACGTCCAGAGCAGGAGCTGTGGGAGACAGTCAGCAGGCTGAGTTCAGAAACCGGCCGGATGAGTGAGTGGGATACAGAAGAGCCTGGTATACCTGAGTGGAAGGGGAACTGTTGTTTGGCCTCTCCTGTGTGAGCGTCCCAGATGATTGTGGTCTGCAGGATTGAATGATGACCTTAACCTCTGCCGACTGTTCAAACTCAAACTCAAAGAGCTGATGTGTGGCTTACCTTGTCTACTCCTGCACTTAGGATAAAATTGCCTTTTTTGTTCCACTTAAGGGCGAAAATGGGACCTTTGTGTTGTCCCAGAGTACTGGCCAGATTACCTGTAGAGGACAGAAACTTTTTATGAGCCTAAAAGAAAAATCTGGAGCATTCCAGAATCCTGCCAGTAGATGGCAGCAGAGCACAGCCTGCGATGAGGAGAATTATCCCAGCATTAAAGGAGCATCAAAATAAAAACAACTCAAGTTTGGGCTGATTTTATCATGATCTCCAAAACAAGAATATTTTCCTTTCATGAGGCATCTCACCATCTTTGGTCCATATTCTGGCGAAGCCGTCATATGAGCCTGTAGCCAACAGCGTGCCCTCACTCTGCAGGGGAACAAAGAGGGAGATTATTGATAGAAGCCAGCATGGCCGCCACCTTGATGACTGTAAAAACAACAAACAACTGTACGTCAACACAACTAATACTGGGTTACCGCGGTAACCCACCAGCTCGATTACTGCTCTGTGTGCGTCTCTGATGAGCTGCTGCAGTGTATGGTCTTTAATCTCTTTGATGGAAATAAAGAAACTAAACAAAAATAAAGAGAAAAGATGGAGGCTTGGAGAACAGAGATTCTAAACCCTTATTGTGTTTGTTTGTTTGTTCAGGTGGAGCAATCAGCTCAGTGTTGGCAGCGGCCTTTCTCCAGTGTTTTCCTCTAATAAGCTCCATCCATCCTCTAATGGAACGACCCGTTTCTGACCGGGTTCTGACCCGGTTCCATTTCCCTCCGTTTCTTGCTGCTCTGTATGTTTTTCCATGCAGTCCAAAGGTCATTAGAGCTGCTTTGCCGTCTTGTCTGTACTGTTTATGGTTAACCTTTCCCAGCCTTTTCTATAATCTGCTTTTTTTTCTACACAAAGGTCAGTTTTACAGAGAGAACCGGAACCGATTTTGCTGCATCAGAGTCTCCAACCTGAGCAGAACCGCTTCAGATTTAATCTGTTCTACCTTCTTGGTTGAAATGGATCTTGCTTCCTAACCAGCCAGGCTGACTGGCTCAGACTCTCTGCTCTAAAACAGTCCTGGAAGAGGGGGTCCACCCTTGTGTTAGAATTACCCATAATGCAACAGTTCTTCCTTGTGATGATAACAGTCAGATTACAGCTGCAGTGCAGTTATGTTTTAATGAAGGTATCCTAAATGATGAGCTGGATGTTTCTAAGATTTTAGCAACTGGCTGCTGGAAGAACTTTTCTTTTCTATCTTCTTTTTTTTTTTTTTTTATTGAACTTTTGTGCAAAGCAGGGAAACACAAAAAGTTAAAAACTCTACATACATAGAAGGATATACACACATATAAACAATAAATAAATAAATAAATGGAGCCCAAAAGCAGAAAAAAAACAAACATAACTCTAGAAATGTTCCTTTTGTTGCCAAGCTAAATCTAATAAACCCAGTCTCATTCTCTGAGCTGCAGGCGCATCCAAGTAGTCCAAAATTTCTATCTTCTTTTAACGTTTTAAAGTCACATCCACTGTTATTTTTTTGAGCAGTATATTTTTTTCCCCCATCCAACTGATAACAGTGCATCATAACAGAATTTATTGTTCTGTTTAATGATATATATACATTATATATTATAACGATAACAGAAGCAACTTCTTTCAGTGTTGTAATGTAATTGCCATCCTCTAGAGCAGGGGTCACCAACGCGGTGCTCTTGGGCACCAAGGGGCCCTCAGGGACCACATGGAGTGTCCACACTCATTATTCATAAATAGCTTGTTCGCCGTCTACAACCCCTCATCCAACGCCGGACGACGCACAGTTCACCCGTAAGAGTGCAAACGGGTGCAAACCAACAGACCGTTGCACAGGGATACAAACTAGCGTCCTGTACGGTGTCTGAGATAGTGTCCGAGGTATGCAAGGCGTTGTGGACGGCACTACAGCAAGAGTTTCTACCATTAAGTACATTAGGAAACACGAATAGCGTAGAGCGGATGTAGAATTGACCAATCAGAGGCCTCCTTTCTGTGGCCCTGTCTGTGGTCTGCCTTTGACATTTGGCTCTACCCGCTCCTGTTCAGGCTGGCTGCCCGGGTTTGGACCCTGAAACTTCTGCATACTGTTCGTGTGTGGGCTTACATTCCAGTCCAGTGAGGTGACGTCTTTGTTGCTGGGGACGTCCTGTCCTCCTTCTCTGATGCAGTGCCTCAGCACCAGCTGTGTGGAGCTGCTTGTACTGTTCTCACTCAGGTTCCAAATACGAGCCGTGGAATCCCCAGACCTGCAGGGAACCAGAAAAGATCAGGATTTCAACCTACGGCAGCTGTTGGAGCAGAGGGACCAGCTTAGGAGACGGCCACTCACCCAGAGGCCAGCAGGTCGCTCACTGGGTTCCAGGCACAAATAAAGACCTCCGACTCGTGACCTCTTAGGACCATGGCCTTGTTCTGAGGGATCTCCACATCGCCGTCCACTTCCATCAGATCTGAGTGGTTGTCTGAGGACACAGTTGGACGTATCAGACACACGGTTTAGTTAGTCAGCCAGGATTTTAATGTTTTTAGGACAAAATCAAAATGTTATTTTTGTTTAGGAACCATCATATAGCCTAGGTCGGCTATAACCTCCATAACTGGCATCTCCCTCACTTGCTAAGGCATGGGCTCCGTTCTCCTCGCCGTTGGCAGTGTTCTCTCCGTTCTTGGCGTTCCCAGTAATGCTGCCGCCTGCAGCCGATGCTGGTGCTGAAGCTGCCGCCTGCTGCTGGGCCATTTTGTCCCGGTAAGCCTGCTGCCTCGTCTGGACCACGTCTGGCATCACCGCATCGATGAGGGACAGAGACTCGATCGGCCGTCCATCGAATAACGTGCCGTCCTGCAGAGCGAGAGGAGGGACAAACAGTTATGGTAAGAGACACTCTTTGAGCCAAGATGAGACTAACTGAATAAATGTTCCCACCTCGTTGATGCTGACTTCAGCCTCCACATACTGCAGGCCTTTCTGGATGATGCTGATGAGGGCAGCAGGGGGCACCAGAGCTCCGTTGATGTTGGACTGACTGATGTGGCTCTCTATACCAAATGTAAACGCAGAGTGGGAGAACCCTGACAAAGAGACATGGAAAAGAGGTGTTTAACAACGTTGCTATGGAAACAACAGACCCCACAGACTACATGTTACTTCACCTTTTTCTTTTGTTTGTTTCTTTTTAAACCTCCTAATCCAGACATTGATCAGGCATCATAAAAACTAAACCAAACATAACATTTAGAAATATAAACATAACATCGCATCCCTTTTTTTATTGCATCATTCACATCATTATTGGACACAACGTACACAGGGTTTAAACAGGAATGAAATGAGCATTTTCTCATTCTCTAGCTTTTTCTCCGCCTCGAGCTTCGAGTTCTATCTGATATATCTAACGAAAATTGTTGAAACTTTTTTTTTTAAATAAAATTTTAAATTCCACGATAATCCTGTTTAATGAAATGTAATGCCAATTAAGGCCTTAATTAAAAAAATTATAATTAAATGACTTTTAATGATTTTTAATGACCTGCGGAAACCCTGCTACAGATTTAGATTTACAACTTGGAAATAAAACAAAACTCATTATCCAGAACTTTAAAATCAGATCTAAAGTTGAAACAATTGATCAGAATGATGGATTATTTAAATAGTCATAAAGTGATGTTGGAATTGAATGAGCTGGACTAAAGACGCATAACACATAACAACACAGCAGCAATTCAACCAAAGCTGCACAAAAAAATATACCATATTTTTCGGACTATAAGTCGCATCGGCCAAAAAATGCATTATGAAGAGTAAAACAAAAAATATACTTGCACCGGACTATAAGGGCGTTTCTCAATATGCGTTCTTGAGCGTTCTCGTGTGCTCGTGTACTCGTGACACGTCATCAGCCTCAGCCCGAGTACCGTTCCAATTCTCGAGAACGCCAGATCGAGAATGCATTAAATACCCGGATGTTTTTCTGGCCCCGCCCTCTTTATCGAGCATGCATCAGAGCAGACTTGAGCGTTCTTCAGACTGACCGCTTCCCCAGAATGCCCCGCGGCCGCAGCTTGATTCGAGACAGCTCTCACAGTGTTAAGTTAAACATTCCCTTTTCTGCTGCTGTTGTTCTTCAAAAGTGCGTTTTGAAATCGTTTGAGGCGATAACATTATACATTGAAGCCTCCCTGTGTGGTCTGTTTACAGAGTTAGTGCGAAATTTTAAAAAAAAGTCCGACGACCAGCAGACCTCCGAGGGTAACCGCAGCCAGGGCTAATGTTACCCCGTCAGTAGTGCACTTCTCTCGGTCTAGTTATGTGTGAACTACCGCTCGTTCTGATGGCGGTTTTTTGCGGTTCAGTAAGTTTTTTTAATGTTTT